AGCATGTCTCAGATTATCTGACAAATGGACGGCTCAAAATACCAGCCCATCTGGTGGGTGTCAGAAGGGACGTTTTCATTATTTGTGCCCTCAAATATAGTGATTCACACTCTCAGATTACTTAAAGGGCCACTCCACTGATTTTCAGTGGTGGAAAGTAAGCAAGTAAAGTTTTGATGTACATTTATTAGTTAAATATTATACTTTTTAGGCCACTAGATTTATTTGATAGCTGCAGTTACTTTTCAAGTGAAGAAAAATTAATTTAATATGTATGAATTTAAAATTCGACATACTGTTTAAAGATTAAACCAGTGGTTCTCAAACTTTTTGGTTTGTGACCTCTTTACAAAAAAGTGACAACCGCTCAGATATTTTAATTCAAACGTACAATATGTAATTTCTGCCGCTTTGGGCTTGCACATCAAAGTACTAACAAAAGATTAATTTTGGTGACGTTGTGAAGTAGCGCAGGATCATGGGAGTTGTGTCTTCACCACCATTGCCGTCATCGCAGTCAGTTTTTCTCCAACTTAGGAATCCTTCAGTGTTCATGTTCAGGAGGTTTCACCGGGAGCCCAGTTATCCACAGAGGTTCCTCCTCTCCAAAACAAACAGACCCGGCTGATTAAAACCACTGAAAACACTGATAAGCAGTTCCACTTAAAAAATCACTGCTTCTCCACTTTTGGACAGACAAAGGACGTCCCGGAGGGTGCTGCGAGTCCGAGCTGCTGCTAACGTTAGCTCAGCTTGTTTCTCTGATAACTTAGATCCCAGACATCCGATGACTAAAATCCTTCATCCGGTTCAATACTAGAGTTAAAAAGCACCAAGATCTAAACAGTGCATTTCTGCAACACTTCTGCATTGGCTTTACTTCATAGACCGGAAAGCTCTGCCCTTTATATATAGTGTCAGTGACCAAAGCAAAGACATCCCAAACCAACTTCCCAAACATGCTAAAATACTTGGCAGACAACATGGTTTGACATTTGTGCGCAAGGTGAGCTACAAAATAGCTACTGCAATCATTTTTGTGGGTTTCTCTCAAAATGGAATCAGATACATCCTCCCCGATTAAAAATTAACCTAGAGGAGGAACACAAAATCTGATCACCTTTGGAAATAAAATCTCAGGTCTGACCAGGGTTTCAGTCACATCAGCCCTCTCACTCCCACTGCTTCCTGTTGCTCTCTGCTTTGATCACAGTAATAAACACAAATAAATATATTTTTTAAGGCCGAAAAATTCCACCAAACAAAATCTCCTCATCAGTTTGAATTTCCATAAAGTGGGTTGTCAACACTCTCCTTTTATGAGCGTGCGTGTGGGTGGGTGTTTCCCAGTATAAGACGTCCAAATGAACTGCCTACGTCTTTAGAATGAGAAATACCAAACAAGGATGCCACAACAAGTGAGTCACGCTCAGATGCATGAGTCACTGTTGGTCTTGTGTGTTTCTTACCCACAAGATTATTACTGTTTAATTTTACAGACCTTCCAGCTGGTGTGATCAATGTGATGGAAATGCAGCCACATGACCTTTTGACCCCAAACAGCTGAGGAGTTTCATTTCAAAATGTGATGGATAAAGTTGATGTCCACTTATGGGTGGGATTGTTTTAGGCAGTGCGCGAACTACACCATGGCTTTCAGGGGAGTTCACTTTTTCCACTGTTGTGGAGGGCTGATATTTTCTGATCTGAAGTCAGTGATATTGTGCAGCCATACTTCAATGGTGATAGCAAGAATAGCAGATTTAAGTAATTTTAAAGTGAATTCAGTTCAACAATAGCCTGAGTTCTCCTTGTTTCTAGTGTTGAAGGTGAAGACGTGCAACGTTTCAGTTCCCAAACTCACTGGAACTGGAAGTTTCCTTCAATTTCTAATGAATTATTTCATTTTCTCTTGCTATTTCATTGCAAAAATGCCTAAAAACATCACAACATGCCTTATTTCTGCATTCCTGCAGGGATGATGTTTTTTAGTGCAACCCGGAAGTTAGCATTGTCTTGGTTCCTTTGACAAAAAGCCAATGGGATTTTTCCATTTTATTTTGGAATATTGCAGAAAAAAAACTATGTGTTTTTGTTCAGCAAGATAATCTTCACAAATGAACACCACTTTTCTGATTTTGAAACATAAATGCAATCGCCAGAAGTAAAAAGCTAATTTTTGGCTATAAACAAACTACACTACAAGTTGGAAAGTCTGAGTTAGAAAAGTTTGCAAGAGCACAAGTATAAACAACTAGACTGTTACAGGTGAACCAGTGAGTAGATAAGTCTCTGCTGACATTTAAAGGACCAGTGTGTAAGATTTAGTGGCATAGAAGCCACCCATAGAAGAGGACCCACTCCCTCTATAGATAGAATTGGTCATTGTAAGATAAGGAAAACAAAACAATTCTTATTTTCAGGTGATTATACACTAATGAAAGCATACCTATGAATATTTAATTTCTGAAAATAGATTATCCTAAAAGTTACACACTGGACCTTTAATGCACCCAAAAACCTCTACAGTCTGATTTAGCCACTTGTTAGCAACCACCATTTTAAAGACAGGTAAATGCTTCATTATTCATAGGTGGGGTATTTACCGACATATTTTATGTTGTAGAACAAAACCAGAAAATTTCTTGATCTTGTGTTAACCACAGACCTTATTTCAGTCAAAAGAAAAAAAAGAACATTGACTTTCAAGGCCAGGGAACCAGAGGTGCTAAAATGCTAACTCATTTCCTGGTTTTGGGACTCGTTCCTGTAGCACTCTATGGCAGGGTGAAGTAAGCGTCCAAATGTGTTCATTTGAATTGATTTTAAACTGGAAATTATGAACACTACTACCATAATAAATGCTGAAATTGTTTATACAACTGAATTTTCAGTGTTTAGGGCTGGTTTGGTTAAGTTTGAAATTCTACTCCGAGTGGAAGAAGCTTGACATTTCAACTGTTTATATATCACTTTTAGCCGTTTCAACTTTTCTGCTCACTTGCTAAACAATTTTCACATGCTTCAACTCATAACACACACAAATGAATCACATTATTCCCAGGCAGCAAGATGATGTTGAGAAGACGTCTTTGCCCAACATAATTTGCTGAAATGTCTTGAAAAGATGTCTTTTTCAGCTCATTGGAAATACAGCATGGTAGCAGCTCTGTGAGGTTACATTTAGCCAGCAGCAGAAAATCGGCATTTTGTGTTTTTCTCAATTGATCTTAACTCACAACAGAGGCCTATTTTTCTTCTGTGTCTACATTACTAACTCTTCAGTTTGTGTCCACTGTGAGTTTAGAGTCAGTGTTAGAGCTTAAGTGTTGAATTGTGAGGCAGCCCCTTTGTCAGTTTCTGTAGTCAGATCTTTAGGACTTAAACAGTGTGTGCTTCTCAAATACTGACAGATGGATTTCAGTTAAAACACTGAAATGTGCACCATTTCCATCTCTGGGTTTTCCCCTCATTGTCAGAGCAGATATTACACCTGTTGACTGTAGTGACTGAGGGCAAAGATCATTAAAAGTTAAATATCTTTTCTGCGGCATGTTGGGTATTGTAGTGCATCGTCCTGGTACTTAGTTGGATTTAAAAATAATACATTAATTGACAGGGAGACCATCCTCAGTTATATGAAGGGATGTGACAACAATAACAACTCTAATCTGTCAATATTTGAATGAAACTTGATTTTGAGTCAGTGAGAACAGTACTGATGGTTGGTGGACTACAAGTCCCACAATGCACGAGGTGTAAACTGTGAAGCGCTCTCTGGTGCGGACGTGTTTGACAGTTATTCAAAAATGGGGCAGTGAAGTCGTAAAGACTGAACCCAGTCCTGTCTGAAAACTGAGCGCACACATTGATTATTATTGATCATTAGCACACATGTGTGCTGTGCTATTTTATATGTACAAACCCTCATGTGTTCATAAGCAAAGAACACCAATGTATGAACACGTGAAGGAGCAGAATCTTAAGTGGGCAATGAACGCGCTGTCGTGCTGACCAAAGAGAAGAAAAAAACGTGAGGTCTCACTCGGCTATCATTTCGGGCTGCCAAAATGTCATCAACATAGGCGACAACTGTGTCCTCTGTCTGGAGCTGTATCACATTTGTTNNGGGGGGGGGGGGATACTTAAAGGAATTTACTCTATTCTTGTTCAGACTGAACTGTTCTTAAATTCTGTGGTGACAATTTGGATATTTTAATGGTATATAACATATATGGTATAAGACATATAAGCTTTTTTGTAAAACAAGTGATCTTGACCAGGAACTGATATTATTAGAAGCTACAGTTAATGTTATGCTATTGTGTTGCTCAGTTTAGTTTATTTGACATTCAAGAACATTCAAGATTTACATCAAATTGTGTGCCAAATCTAATATTATAGACATTGCAGCCACAGGTATTTATTTAAACTTGGGCTCAGATGTGGGGGAATCAACATTGGTTGTTTTTTATTTATTATTTCATTTGTTAAATGTTTTTAAAGGACCAGTGTGTAGGTTTTAGGGACATCTAGTGGTGAAGTTGCAGATTGCAACCAACTGAATACAGCTGAGCCTTCTGGTGGCCCCAAAACCAACGAAAAACACAAAAGGCCCTATCCAGAGTCAGTGTTTGGTTTATCCATGCAGGCTACTGTAGAAACGTGGGTAGAAACGTGGCGGACCCCGTAGCCCTGTAGGCCAAACCAGCTCATCCTAAGGTAACAAAAACACAACAATTCTAATTTTTAGGTGATTATACACTAATATAAAGATACCTAGAATATTATTTTCCATTTCTGACAGTAGATCCTCCTAAATGTTACACACTGGACCTTTAAGGGGGTTTTGTTACGTTTAGCAAAGTTTAAGTTATTTTAAGACTGAACCGTCTGTATGGAAGGACACTTCTGAAAAAAAAACCGCCCTGATTGATATTGTCCCTGCTTGAGTTTTCAAACATATAATGACGGAAATGTGTATTTATGTTAGTACAATTTAGTGAAATCAGGCTCCTAACAGTTACAACCATCCGCCGGGCCTAAAGTTCAGAGAGAGGTCCGTGGGGTGAGTCGTCTTACTAACAGACGATCTTTGGCGCTAGCTAAAGGGCTCCAGCTAACGAGCGTCCAGTGGAACCGGAGTCACCGGACAGCCGTTCCTCGCTTCGGTATGATGCCCGGTGACAGCGACATGACCTCCATCGTCCAGAGAATAGCTCGGCAGGCTCTCGTCACCTTCAGGAGCCCGCCTCGGGTCGGCGAAGAGGCCGCTAAATCTTTTTTGGAGAACCACAGCAAACTGAAGAGCCTGATGACGGAAGTGCGAGCCGCCGACCTGAAGCTCGTCCCGCGGAGAGCCGACGACAGCTCGCCCGGTGTGCCCCCTCCGCTCCCGTACCACCACGGCGCGCCCCCGGTCACCTACATGCACATCTGTGAGACGGACCACTTCAGCATGGGGGTGTTTCTGCTGAAAAGCGGCGCCTCCATCCCTCTGCACGACCACCCGGGGATGCACGGCATGCTCAAAGTCATGTACGGCAAGGTCAGGATCAGCTGCTTCGACCGGCAGGAGCGGCCGGCCGGCGGCCCGCAGGTGGCCCCTCCGCCCCCCCCGGCCCAGATGGACGCTCTGCGGCGCTTCGTGCTCCGCTCCACCGGGGAGTACACGGAGGAGAGCGGCCCGTGCGTGCTCTCCCCTGACCGGGACAACCTCCACCAGATTGACGCCGTGGACGGCCCAACGGCGTTCATGGACATCCTGGCCCCGCCGTACGACCCGGACGACGGCAGAGACTGTCACTATTACAAGGTTCTGACAGAAGCGGAGGTTAAAAACACAGAGCAGAAGGAGAAGGAGGTCTGGCTCATGGAGATCTCACAACCTCCGGATTTCTGGTGCGGAGGGGAGCCGTACCCGGGCCCGGAGGTCCGTCTCTGATCCATCTGACTGACCTGCAGCCACAAAATGTCTTCTTTTCTCGGGCTGGTCTGGTTTATGCACCCTGTAGTGGCACAAGGCCGGGGCCTTTGGACCTGGTTGGACAAACTGAGCTGAGTGAAGGGTCTCTAAATCATTAATCCATGTGTTAGTGGCACAGGAGGTCATCACAGACACAAATTAGAGGGTCTTAATTGGACCAGGGAAGGAGACTACCTGTTCCTTTAGGGAAAATGATTCAGCAGATAATTAGGTGACCTCATTGTAAGGCATTGCTAACAGTGCTCCCACAACTGCAACTCTGAAATATAATAACTCAAGTTTCCACTTCACTTGGAGCCCCTGGCAACACTACACAACATCCTGTTGATCCTTCCCTGTTTGTGTATGAAGGCTGTTACTGCCAGGGAGGCTTTTAATGCACTCACAGGTGCTCTGTGTAATGGGAACACCAAACGACAAACTTCAGATACGTCTTTTACCCCCAGAAAGGGAATGAAATCACACTCAGCATTTGTTTCTCTGACCCGTATTCTCTGACCCTATCCAGCTCAATTTTGGCATCGCTATCTTTCTCCTGTGTTGTCGGTGTGGGCAGCAATCTCTATATCATGTGCTAGAAGACATTGGCTGTAACTGGGGAGAGAGAACACTTTGGAGGCCTCCTGTCACACACTTCTGGGTTCCTCTGATAGATGTAGTGTCATTATAGGTGGCGTCATTTTGTGAACCAGTACAGGAGCGTATGGATGGCAGCTGAAAGGGTTAAAAAGTGAAAAGCACCAAAATTGGGAGTTTCAGATGATGTGAGCAAATGGGCTAAAATAAGACCCTGTAAGGTATTTTCAAGGAGAGATGCCAAGAAATGACAAACTGATGATGTGCAGGGTGCAAATGCTGCATTCAAGAAAAGTCAGGAAGTCTGAATTCGCTGCCTGCATCTGGTCTAAGTCGGTGCTTCAAAGTTTCGATTCCAAAATTGAAACATTTGGGGCAGAGTTCTGTACCTCGACGCTTTGACACTAAGCATTACGCAGACATACTTTTGATAACCTCTAAATATACAGAATTTCAGTATTGCATGAGCCTTAATATACAACAAGTACTTGCTGGTGGTTTAAAGGTATGATATTTATTTCTAATGTCTGGTGCATGAGGGATGCAATGCATGCATTTTTCCACGCTGCAGCAGTGAAACATAATAGTTCGAGATATAATCTACTAGATTGGAATTCCTGACTTCTGACTGCACCTTGAATGCAGCATTAAAAACCCTGACCTGAGCTGAGTTGCCGGACCGGAGGGGCTGTGTTGATGCGTTTTAAATGTCTTCCTGCTTCAGGCTTTGTGACGTTTGTTCCAGTCGGATAAAGAACTGTGTGAATCAAAAATATCTAAAGCTGCAGGTTTTCTCGTCTTGCGTTGTGTTTAGGACTCAACAAACTGTAGACTGTTTTTTTGTCTGGGAAAAGTTTGATCCTCAGGGCTGTTTGTGATCTGTATCACTGACTGATTGTTGGAAAGATGTGCACTAAATTAAGCTTCTTAGTACAAATTTTGGTTTTCACTGTTCGACAGGAATGTGAGTGTGATTATAAAGTCAGGACCATAAAAAGGTTTGAGGTTGGAATTAATCAGACATGCAAGGTGAATCTGAGGATTATGTTTAGAAATAAAGTTTATGGAGTGAAAACTCTGAAGCTAAACAAACTTCTGAACAAATTCTCTGCTACTTAAAATCAGCACTTAAATTGTACGGTATGCACTAATGAAAATTGTTTCTTGTTCTGAAAGTAGTGCTGACATAAAAGTAAAGCACCTACTGTCATATTAAAATCTGTTGGGGATTTTTGGAGAATTAGGCTGATTGAAATTGTGTGTTTGGATCACTTTTATTTCCAACTACATTGTTATTTGCAAATAAAACTTGTCCAGAGTTAATACAAAATCCTCCTTTGAGGACAGCGACTGAGACTGATGTGCTGTATGTTGTGTCACTGTGGGAGTTTAGACTATACAGGTCTTCTAATCAGCTGATGTTTCATCAACAGAAAGCTCTTTAAATCAGAATCTGATTCCCAAATCCGGTTGGTGTAAAATGAACAGTCACTGTATCGATGTATTTTGCCTATAATGAAGGTTTTCTGTCTGTTCATATAAAATGTGCTGTTTATTTTTGCCTAAACATGTCTCCTTTATTTGCTTCAGAATGTGATGAACTCTTATTGAAAGAACAAAAAGGCTGAAGTAGCTTTCTAATCAAACATGTCAGCTCTATAAAATCTACTGAATCGAGTTTCCGCCTAAACTTTTTTGCGCTTTAAATACAATTATTTAATTTGTGTCTCCAAGCATTAAGCAGTCCTTGGTTGATGGTGAAAGATCTTTGTTGTGAGCCTAAAGGTTAAAGGTTATATATGAGATTTAGAACATTAATA